AGCTATGGACAGTGAAATCAAATCCATAGAGAAGAACAAGACTTGGGAGCTCACTGATCTTCCTAGAGGGCAGAAAACAATCGGAGTAAAATGGGTTTTCAAAACCAAGTTGAATGAAAACGGTGAGGTGGATAAGTACAAGGCGCGACTTGTTGCAAAAGGATACAAGCAAAAGTATGGAATTGATTATAAGGAGGTATTTGCACCAGTGGCACGTCAAGACACTATCAGGCTCATAATTTCTATTGCAGCACAGAAATCTTGGCCTATTTATCAACTTGATGTGAAATCAGCCTTCTTACATGGAGAGCTTCAAGAGGAAGTATATGTGGAGCAACCAGAAGGTTTTGTTCAAAAAGGCAAAGAGGAACAAGTATACAAGTTGAAGAAAGCTTTGTACGGTTTGAAGCAAGCTCCGAGGGCATGGTACAGTCGCATTGATTCTCATTTTGAAAAGATGAGATTCACTAAATGCCCGTATGAACATACGTTGTATGTGAAAACTGAAAAGGGAGGTAACATTATCATTATTTGCTTATACGTTGATGATTTAATATTTACTGGCAATAATGAAGAAATGTTTGAATTTTTTAAGAAGAGCATGATGAAGGAATTTGAAATGACAGATCTTGGCTTGATGAGATATTTTCTTGGAGTAGAAGTTACTCAAACTCCCGCAGGTAACTTTATCTGTCAGAAGAAGTACGCTCAAGAATTACTTGAAAGATATAAATTGGATGAGCGCACATTTGGAACTCCATCAGAATTGGGTTTAAAGTTGCACAAGGACATTGACGGGCGAGAGGTTGATAATAGGTACTTCAAACAAATTGTGGGAAGTTTGATGTACCTAACTTCAACAAGACCAGACATCATGTATGCGGTTAGTATGATAAGTCGTTACATGGAGCATCCAACGGAAAAACATCTCAATGCAGCAAGAAGGATACTTCGTTATGTGAGAGGAACCTCTGATTTGGGGGTATTCTACAAAAAAGGAGATGATCCGAAGATAGTTGGCTATACAGATAGCGACTATGCAGGTGATATAGACAATCGTAAAAGTACTTCAGGAAGTATTTTCTTGATGAGTTCAGGAGCTATTTGCTGGTTTTCAAAGAAGCAACCTATTGTAATACTCTCAACAACAGAAGCAGAATTTATGACAGCAACAGCATGCTCGTGCCAAGCAATTTGGTTAAGAAAAATGCTTGAAATTCTTAATCAGAAGCAACCAAGTGCGACGGTTATATATTGTGATAATATGTCTACTATTAAGTTGTCTAAAAATCCTGTGTTGCATGGAAGGAGCAAGCACATCGATGTTCGATTTCATTTCTTGCGTGATTTGTGTAAAGAAGACATTATTGAACTCAACTTTTGCCGAAGTGATGAACAAATCGCAGACCTATTCACAAAGCCCTTGAAACAACCATTGTTCGAGAAGCTCAGAAGAAAGATGGGGATATGCAAAATCCAAGATGTATATCAAGAAGATGAAATGAAGTCCTAAACTGATTTCCGCAGAATTCAGTTTAAGGGAGGGTGTTGAAACTAATAATAGCTAATAATAGAATTTGAATTAGTTACGGAAGAGAAGGAGGAGGTGAATTCAAATTCATTCACAAAATCATCCACAAAAATCTCCACAAAAATCTCAACCAATTCCGAGAATCCCCCTATAAAAGAACCTCCCTCCCCATCACTCAAATCACTCCTCCTCTCAATCTCAATTCAGTTTTCTGTTGTCACCAACATAAGAGTAGTCGTCTTCTTTATGAGTCATGGTTTATACCCCAAACATGTTCCAATATCCTTGAAATCTTACATTATCATCCATAATTGATAAATGGTTCTCTATAAAGTTTCATAATATTTAGATTCCAATTAGTTCTTGAAAACATCATAATGTTATATTAGGGGTATTTTGATCATTTACTACCCAAATCAAGATTCGATAATAAACAAGCTCCAATTGTTTTGAAGTCTCGTATAGTCCTGGAAAACCTTAAAATTAGGCCTCATGTAAAATCTTAAGTCCCTTGGAGTTCATTTAGGCCTTGGAATAGCTTATAGACATTGTTAAGGAGTGTGTGTGGTGAAGTTACTTGTTTTAGTTCATGGCCTTATAGGGTAGCATCTTGATACTTAACTTTTATGGCTAACCCTATGTATAATATAAAGGCTTGTAACACTCTTTTCATGTAGTATAATGTAAAGTTTGTGACCCTAAAGTAAGCCTAAGACATGTTTGCGTCATTCTCATGAGATTTTAAGTTAAAGAAAATTACCATAAGGGTCATGTAGTTCAAACCCATTGGAGTTCATTAGGTACATGTAGTCTTAAGGTTCGAACTAATAGGGACAATTTGGCTATTTACCACCAAACTCTTAGTTTGAGCCCCAAATATAAATTAATGGTGGTAAAATTTTTCTTTAAGGCGAGTAAAATTTCATATCGTTTGTAGGTCATGACACGTTATAGGCATTATTTTTTTTTNGGCTTTTTTTTTTTTTTTTTTTTTCGCCTTAATCTTGGTTTTGGCTCTAAATATATTCCAATGGCTTCAAAACTTTGTATAGTCATTAGAAATCATAAAATAAGGATTCTTATATAATTTTATATCATTTGGGGTCATAGTATGCTATATAGGGGCATTTTGGTCACTTTACACCCATTTTTTGGTTTAGTCCCTTGACATTATCCAATGACCATTATAATTCTTATATAACTTTACTATGTCATATTAGGCCTTGTATTACAATTTCATAAGCAGTAGAGTCCATTTAGTGTGTCATTTTAAAGTTACTTGATTCTCGAGCAAAACGTCCCATTTTAGTACTTAACACTCACTTCTTACCTCTTAACTTAATCCTTCCATTTCCTTTAAATATTAATTTCTTTAAGCTATGGGCAAGCGATTCCTAAGATTGGCTGCTTATCTTGCTTGGTGTTTAGGACCTCCATTCTCTGGATTTGGTATCCTCCTCCACTTTTGAAGTGTATTTGCAGGAACCAAAAAGATTTTTATGAAAAGCGGTCCAACATGGGGTTAATTGAGCTAAATTTTATCACATTTTTGCTTTAGGGATGACCGTGGTGGGTTCATATCGTCTTCTTCCTCCTTCCTCCTCAAGATGCAATTTTGTGGCTTGAAAGGGTCTGAAAAATGCTCCTCCATAGCCTTGGTTCCTTCATGGAATTTATAGATGGTGCTGCAGGGGAGAAGAAGAGATCAACCTTATACCCTCTCATACATCGTAGCATAAAATATTCATAGTCAAAATATTTCTGGAAGTCGTTTTTCTTGCCAGACCAAACCCATTTCAACTCTTTATTCCTCTCCTCCCTATCAAGCAAATACATGAGTTTTGGAAGGAAAAATTTACACAAAAATGTGTTTATTGGGCAACATGATAAACACCTCCTGACTTCTTCTTGAATGCCAAGGAAGTGGGTAAGGTCCAAGCATCTTATTACTACAATCATTCACCAACACAATCTCGACCTTAACCTTCAAATGAAACCTTTTGACGAGTAGCATTAAACGACCATCGACTCAAATTTAGTGATTTCGACTTAGGACAACAAGATAAGTGAACTTACCGTTGGAACGCTTTTGTGTTAAGTTGGAAGAATTGTATGTTATAATAACACGTATTATGTGGTATGTTTATCTACATTATTATTATTTTTTTTTTTTTTTTTTTTTTTTTTTTTTTTTTTTTTTTTTTTTTTT